TCCAAAGGGATCCTTGGGGATTAGATTTCCATCACCACGTCAAATCTAAATGCCCCTCCTTGCAAAGAAAGTAGAGTGTTGCCAAAAGGTTCAAGAAAAAAGGTAAGAAAGCTTTTGTATATTGCATGGGAGGATAATGACACTTGTTCATCAAGTGAAGAAGAGGAAGATTTGAAGGCCAATATTTGTCTCATTGGTGAAGTGAGTGTTCAAGATGAAGAGGATGCAACAAGTGGTTTAGATTTTGAGGTAGAAACTTCATATGACCAAATTCAAGAAGCATTCATTGAATTACATGGAAAAGCACAAAAGCGTGTTATTTCTAATAACAACTTGAAGAGTAATTTGAATTGGCAAGTTAACAAGTTATCTACAAAAAAAGAAATCAATGATTTGAAACTTGAAAATGATAACTTAGTAATGGTGAAAAATAAATCTTCTTGTGACTATGCATCTTCATCTAATGACATGGAAAAATATGGCATTTTGAAAGATGAGTTTAAGGCTTTTAAGAAGGGGCATTACATTGAAATAATGGTTTTGCAAACTAAAGTAGTTTATTTCAAAAACTTTCTTAATAGATTTAACAAAACAAAAAATTAGATGAACTTTATTTTAGAAAGGTAAAGGAGTGTGAAAAATAAAATTAGTTTTGGTTATGTTCCTTTCTCCAAAATTCAGCCTAAAACAATCTTTTTTTTTCTTCATTTACATAAAGCTTCAAACCAATTTATACTAACATGTCACTATAGTTGCAAAAAGAGATATGCCATTATAAATGTTTGATCAGAAAATTTGGAGTACTTTAAAGAAAATAGAAGTAGATTCCAAAATCTTGAACAATATCTAACCTAAAAGGACCTATAATTAAATGGGTACCTCAATCATCCATTTAATTTGTGTGATGTAAGAATGCATGCATGCTTAGCGTGAAGATCAATACAATGCATTAAAGATGGTCTCATAACGAATACTTAAAGGGTCCTAACACATAATGAATATCTTTTTGAAGCCTATAAATAAAAAAAGCTTTGAAGAGTTGAAAAAAATTGAATTTGTATGGTTTAATTGTGCCTATACTATGTTAAATCAATCATTCCCTTCAATCTTGTAGAAAGCATAAGTTATCATCCACTGGATGAATAGTGTTAAACTAAATTATCCTTGCATTATCAAGTTGTAACCTCTGAACTCAACTTACATATCCCCTCCATAATTGTTATCCTTTCAAACACTACTTACCTTTACCTTAAGCCTGGAGAGGCTAGTGTAAAGAATACTTGGTAAACAATTGTTTATACGTATGACTAATAGTGACATAGAGAATACTTGTAAGGTAGTAATGGTAGTAAAATTACTTGTAAAGTTCCTTGTGCTAGTGGAACCCTTATAGTTTAAAGGTAACTAGAGATAACTCAAGCTTAAGTGAACCAATATAAAAAAAATATTTATGTTTCCTTTTCCTTACATTTAGACCTTTGGAAAAAACATTTTAAGAATTTATAATTGTTTTCTTAATCTTGCAAAATTTAACAAAAATTCTCAAATTCATATTTAACCCCTATTTTGTGTGTTTCTTTACCTTTTAGAAGACATTATAATGAAACGGACAACTCCTAAAGTCATAAAACAAAACCAAAGTTGGGTATTTGTAACCCCTTCAAGAAACCTCCGAACAAAATTTATGGGGTCTAGGGCCAACCCTTCTACCCACAACCCATACTATATCTATGAGTGAGACAACATTTCTAAAAACTTGAATAAACAAGCTCTAAGCAGGAA